AAAGTATAGTATAATTAGATTGCATTTCAGGAAAATTTTGGTTACTTTATAATAAATGTGCATTAATTATTAACATTTCAATTTTAAAGTTTCGGAAAGGTTTCGGGTAACAAGTATAGGGGGGTTGCATTTAGAGTAGTCTGTCATACTCCTCTAAATGAAATCCTATGCAACCGTATGCACGATTGTCCAGGTATACAAAATTTGATTGTATGAATTGAAATGTCAATTTTTATTAATTTGAGTGTCAAAAAGTGTAAGGAGGCTTTTCATATGTTGTGCATTCAGTGTGTTGCATTTAAGGGGTTGCATTTATGGTGGCTTGTGTATTTAGGGGGGTTACATTTAGAGTAGTCTGTCAGACTCCTCTAAATGCAACCCTATGGTACTGTATGAATTCGATTGTCAAAATGTAATTTAATAATACAACTTTGATACGTATTTGATCTTGTGCAATCTGTATGATCAGGATTTGAAAGGATCATACTATTACTTTGTGAAAAAAGAGATAACGGAAGAACAAAAAAAACTCCGGATTCTCAAATATAAAAACCACTCGTTATTCAACCCTTTACTTCACTCACTTCAATTGTATTGAGTCTTGCCCTTTCTATTGATTACTATCTCATTTACACGTTTTAAAATTTTGTAATAATGTCTTTAAAATTTTACATTATTTTTGCTTTTATCCTTTTTATGATGTGGCCAACATGGTCTTCTCCTGTCAGTAAAGATAGTGCTTTAATCAATATGGAAAGTGGGACAAATACGACCTCAAAACGAGATGCCAATCCTGAAAATTCAAGCGGTTTTTATAAGATGAGTAACCTTAAGGAAAAACGTGAACTTACTGAAAATGAATTGAATGAACTTTCTAAACGAGAAGTTTCTGAAGAACACAAACTCTCTAAAAGAGCTTTAGAATATCGTGGTGGCATATTTAATGCTAATAGCTGCAGTTATTATTGCTCTTCTTACCTTTACTGTGCGTATAGTAACTGCGCAATTCCTTCTTATTTGATTTGCTTCAATTCTTAATGTCTTTTCTGTCACATCAAAATGTTATTAAATTATATTTTTTTCTGAACATTAATTATTAATCGTAATTTTTGTTGCTTCAAAAATGATGTCAAATTATGAGATTTTTTTTCTTTTTGTTCAAATAATATTTGTTATTCTGATGAAAAACTATAATAAGTTAAATTTGTTTAAACTCATTTCTTAAGGGTCGTGTAAGTTAAATTTGTTTAAACTCATTTTTTAAGGTAATCACTGCTTCATTTACAAATGTATCTCTCTAAATGTATAACTAAATAAAATTAGCCCTATATAAAGTAATAATTAATTTTACAAAAAAATTAAGTATATACATTTATCCAAATGATATGTATTATTGTACTTCTGGTTAGATAGACCGTATTGTCATAAATTATTTTAAATTACGCACTGTAAACTTTTATAAATAACGGACACACATCTAAATTTTTGTCATATGATTTTTATAAATTGCACAAATTGACGAATTTTCATTTTTAAAAATTTTATTTAAAAGCTTGGTTGAAGTACGTTACGTTCCCTAAGATAAAATTATTTGCTGAAGTTTCTGCGAGATAAAAGCATAAGAAACGAACTCCTTATAAATAACATACTCTTAACATAAGCCATTATTTTGTCTATTTTCGTCACATTCTTTTCAGATTTGCAAATTCACTGTTTAAAAGTGTTTCACTAGACGCGTCTGAATGAGAGTTTTTGACAAAATCAAACCTTGGAAGGTTGGTACATTATTAAAGTAATGAAAGGAAATCGAGAAAACCTGGTTTATAGTATGTAGGTCTCTCATTAATTTATATATTCAAGCTATTCACTTTCGTCAATACTTATCGTTACATTATCTTTTTTATTTAATTGAATCCATATTTTTTTCTATAGGTTTATTGATTATACATTATTTAAGATTATTTGGACTTGATGCTGGGTAAAGGGACGAAGTTAACAAAAAAAAATTCATTCAAAAAATTAATTATCCCATGAACCATCGATCAGAATCACAATTTTTGGTTCCATTCAAATGATACCAAAATTTTGTGATTTTGATCAATGGTTCATAAGATACATCACAAAGTTGTTTTTATGTAGAGTTATATAAATATTTTATGTATATTGTATTTAAAGATTACACATAAGTCTATAAACCCAATGTAAACTTATGTAGTTATAATTTATATATAAATATAATTCTAAATAACATTCATTTATGAATTATATAAAATTTAAGAAATATAACAATTATATAGAATTTATTTATATAGTTATATAGAATTATAGATAATATTTATTTAATAGTTATTTAAAGCTTAACAAATATAATAATTAAATACAATTTATTTATATAATTATATAGAATTATAAATAATATTTATTTAATATTTATTTAACTTTTAACAAAAACAATATTTATATAAAATTTATTTATATAATTATATAAAATTATGTATAATTTTTATTTAATACATATTTATTTAAATTAATTATTATTTTTTTTTTTTGGTATTAAGGTGAGGCCTTGCTTATATCTTTATTAATAATTTAAAATAGT